ACTGCATGTGGCATGGTTATTTTGTATTTTGTTTTGTTTGGACTTTAGTGCAAGCTTTGTACCACTATAAATCTAGAAGCAAAATTACTTTACTAATTCATAACTGTTGAAAGGGTTATATGTGATTACTCAAAATTTGTTCTAATTGTGACTTCTTTGAATCAAAATTTTTATGGCAATGTATTTCTTCCAGAAACAGGCGAGAACTCCTGATCTATTTGCGACGCCGGTAAGTAGCAAGTGTCATGCAGTCCGAAAAACGCCAAGGTTTTTATTGAATCTCGTATTTCCTGATAAATTTTATAGCGTTCTTGACTTCATTATGAATGTTTTCGAATTGGTGTAACTCTTCGCACCCTTCTACTGCAATCAACTCTCTTTATGAAGGGGTTCTAATTACTAACCAGATGAAGAGCGACAAATTTTTTTAGTAGCGCACGTATGCAGAAAATGGATGGTGCTATCATAACGAAAATGGAGGCGACTACACCACAAGAAGTAAATTTTTCAAAAATTTGCAGGAATTTTCCAACTCTTGCACTCCCTACAATTTTTTTAAAAACTGTTGACATTCTTACGAGTGCTTCGTTCACTGCATTCAGAAACGGCAGAAGATTACATGTTTTTTTCTGAATCAGATTTCAGTACTGGTCCTCATATTTTTTTTTTTTTTCCATGAAACATCTGGGATGGATGATTGATTTACAGTTGATTTACCTTTCGTTAAATTTTTTTAAATGAACTTTAGGCACGCCAGGCGCGTTCTGCTACTCGGTTAGCAAAGAAAAAGACTGAATTACCTATTGCTGCTTCTCCCCAGAAACCATTAAAGGTATTCTGCCGTTTTGTAACGTACTGTGAGTATAAACAGCTCATTTGCTACCCTCAGTTTGAAAAAGTTGCAAAGTATTTCTTTTTTATTTGTAGCAAAGGGCGAAAAAGTCTGAACTGATTCGAAAATTAGAAGCCAAACAAAAAGCTGTTATTAGTAATAAGGAAGAGCTAATCAAAATCAAGGCTGAGAGGGCACGGAGGTAAAGTTTTTTCACTCAGTTGCTGCTGTTTTAGCTTTTTAGTTTGTCACTGTGATTTTTAAAGGGATCGAGAGGAAAGAGCGCAGCGAGTCTATCAAAATAACAAGAGGAAAGAAATGGAGAGGGAGGCTGCAATTAGAGCAGTGCGCGAAAGAGAATTAGCAGTGGAAGAAATTCGTCGTTATCAAGAAAGTCCAGTGAAAGGTTTGAAAGCCGTATCCAGGTACAATTTTACATCGTTTTCATGCTGGTTCACCTGATGGTCTTTGTTGCCTGTTTTCATAGAGGAAGTTCTTTTTTTTGATTACAAGCTCTAAGTGAGCGTAGATAGTAGTTGTTAGTCAGTTGGATGAAATGTTTGATTTGTGATGAATTGATTGTGGATTGATGTCATTCCATAAGTTTTGGAACTACATGCTACGTTCTGGATTTTAGGAGCAAATTTTTTTGAATGGTTTAGTAATATTTTGTATTTTCATTTACCAAGTTATACACTTAAAATCTTCCTAACTAAAATTTGTTCAGGACAAATAGCAAAAGTCCATCACGACTACGTATGGTCCACGCAACCACTACCAAGGTGCCGTTCAGCTCAGTTGCAGTGCAGAAGCTAGTCAAAGGGAATTCTCAGTCGCATGATGAGAAGGTCTTTCATTAACATATTTATTACAGATAAACACTCCATCGCTTAATGGAGCAGTCGGCTTTTTAGCTGGCTTATGTAAGATAGCTAGTAAGAAAATCATAGCTTGATTGCTAACCAAACGAGTAATTGATTTAGTACAACCGCGTTTCATAACAGGTAACATTAGTGGCGCTAACGAAACCGATAAAGCGGAAACCAAACGCTATGACACCTGTAATACCTGTAAAACGTAACACAGTTCTAGTAGAGAAACCGAAAGGACTTCAGGAAAGGATTGCTCATGATCGCGATCTTAGTTCTAACAAGTCACGAGACTCTCAGTCTTCTCAAAAAACGGAAACTGATGGTTACGCTGGAGCAGGCTGCATTGATGGTATTCGGAAGGAGCCAGGAGTTTCTACAACTCAGCTGCCTTCAAGCACCACTGCTGTAAATGCTGTGAAAGCACCAAAGCAGCTTAGTAATTTGAAGGCTGAAGTTAATGCACCAAATGAAGTCACTTCTGCCGATACGAAAAGGTTATTGGTTACTGAGCAGCCTGATAATCATCAAGGAAACAGCAGGGATTTAGAGCGAGAAAGGGAAGAAGTTAGAGAGAAATTGGGATTGTTGGACTCATCACAACTAAATAATAAGAACCTGATGAACGTGACTGCCTGTAGCAGGTATTTTGACATCGTTTTTCTGTATAGTGTACTTTTAGGAATTTCATACAACTCTGACTAATGCAGAGAAGTTAAAGAAGGAGTAGGTGTCTTAAGCTTCCTCCACTTTGAAGAAGCTTAAATTTTTTTTGCAGTTATGAAATTACGCCACCGAAAAAGCCTTCGCCATCTACAGAGGACAATTACAACATTGATAGTCTTTCATCAGGCGACGAAACGGATGAAGAAGATAATCCGAAGAAAAAGGTCCCAAACTGGGCGCAACGTAAGTCAATTTCGGTTTCATTTATGCAATGTTTTGCACAAATCCTTTTTCACCCATTTTCATTGAGCATTTATAATAGTTAACTGTCCAGTTTTGAAGGCTAAATTTGGTGGTCAGTTGTTCGTAAAGAGGGTGCCGGTATTTTCAACTCCTTTTACCTATTTTTTAGCAATCAATCTTCGTCGCGCTTTACGAGAACAAGCCGAAAAGTCGCCACATGTGATTGACTTGTTCTTCGGACAGATCGAAACCCCTGACCTGAATAAGATTTTTTCTATGCAACGGACAAGGTACGCGAAGCGTACCTCGTCAGCACAATGGAATTCTCCATTAGCAAATCCTCGTGAAGGAATAAGTGTATATTATGCAATACAGAGGCAGAAATAATGCTTTCTCACTTCTGCTTCTCTTCATTTAACACTTTACCCTTTAGCCCTTTTACTTGTATAGATCGAAGCATGTTAGTTTTTTGGATGGGATCATTCATCAACTTTTTATCGAAGTAAAATTTTATTTGTTTTTCTTGCTGTGGCATTGTATTATGCCATTTAGTAGTCAGCCTCAATGTACTCGATAATCTTCAATTGTGAGCCTTTGAATGAAATTCATTTTTTGAATGTTACAGCCTATTTTATAAATAACTCAGGAACAGCCATTTAGCGTATTATATTATAAGCAGCTGGCACTCATTTTAAGTTCCAAATAGCAGATGTAAGATATGATTTAGATGTGTTCATCCGGGAGTTTTTTATCCAAGTTTGCTTGGGTCGGAAGTGTTTTCCTTGCAAAAGATATTTCTTGATGCAGCTCTTAAGCCTTGGGATTTTGTCACTAAACTATGCAAGGGTTGAAAGAGCGACGTGCGACGAAAACAGAAATTTAGAAATTTTTTCTGTTTTAATGGTGGGGAATAATGGGGAGACATCTTTAATTCTTGACCCAGTTTACGTTGTATTTTGCAACTTCATTAGCTGTGATCAGTGGATGTTTTAGACAGTGACTATGAAAAAGTTTGATTTTTTGTAGATGCTTTGACAGCTAAATTAACAGCTGTTGTTCTCGACAGGTTTGTTTCTTTAGTCAGGGCCAATTAATAGATCTTGTCGAGTATGGTCGCTGGTGGGTAGATGTTTTACCAATAAACAGAAGGAAAATTGTACACAACTAAACTTGTCTCTACCGCTACATCTTATCCTCTCTTAACACCAAGCGTTAGAACATGTGCTTTTATTTTGGAAAAAGATTGGCAGGTCTGCTAAATTTGTGTGTGTTTCCAGTGTATGAAGCTGTTTCGTGCAATTTTTTGTGGGGAACAAAAACTCGCTCTCCGTATTTCTTTTAGCTCATCCAAAAATT